GTAGGTATGTGGGGGCGTGTTCGAACGAGCCGTTTTAGGTAGGTGTGGCTGACTCTTAACTTTTATAAAGAATATTTCTTTGGATTTGAGACTTTAGTCTTTGCAACTTTACAGATCTTCTTTATGCACCAAGAGCTTGTAACACTCCAAAGAGAAAGGAAAAATTGAAATCGCATCATATGACCCCTTTAAATATATTATGATTAGTATTAGTAGCATTGTCTATAGGAGTAATAATTATGCAAATATTTATAATTATAATAAATCAACAATAATAATATATAATAATTAAAGTGCCCCTATTATGGATTTTTGAAAATGACCTTTCATGCAGTGTGTAACACAGCTCTAAGTGAATGAAAACATCCTGCAAAGTTTTAACTCTGAAAGTGCACCATGTATAAAGTTATTGTCTCTCAAAAGAAAGAGTGGACTCTGAATCCTTGAAATGAGTCATTTTTAAAACGAATCCCAAGCCGTTGACGTTAACATGAAACATTAGCATATTGCCCGCCCACTTGTTGGTCTTTTCGCGTTGGGCTGAATGAAAATGCAAATTCATTCTTTGCCACTAGATGCCGCTTTTGGAGCGCTGTTTCCCCGGTAACGCTGTACACAAAGCAGCACTGTGCTCACAAACGCTGCTTTATCAGGCATTACAGGCTAGATGAAATGAAAATGAGACCAATCACCGCAGATTAGCGTCATGCAAAGGAGGGGTTTAGAAAAATTAATCGTTGAGGGAATCGTTTGGGAGATGAACAAATAAGGTAAAAATAAATGCACATTATAAGACAATGAAAGAGTTTTTTGACCTTGCATGCATGTCAACCTGTTGTTGGGGACTCCCAAAACCAAAATATGAACTTTTCATTACCCTAATAGGGGCACTTTAATATTATAATAATTAGTATATTAAATCATGTAAAACGCTCATCTAAATGGTTTAACTTTAATAATTAAATAATGACGTGCTCATGCACTCATGTTATTTAAAATTGTGTATATAGTTGTGTACTATATAAAGGTATGTGTACATATTTGGGGACAAATAAATTTGTACCCAGAGATGAGATAAATCTGACAAAACCACCTTGTAAGAATGGTATTACAATAAAATACTTTTTTACTAAAGAAAAAAAAAAGCAGAACATTTAAAGTGGTTAGGATTAGGTTATATAATTTATAATTAGCTGTATATAAAAAACTATTTCTAGTCTATGGAATGTCCCCATTTAGATAGTAATCATGTTTGTGCGTGTGTTGCAGATGAATGACGTGATGCTGTACACCTACCCTCAGCAGGATGGTAAATACAGGCTGAAAAACACACTGACTCTAAGTGGAATGAAGGTAAGACAGCAGTGTCTCTCAGCAGATTCATTTTGTTTTTTGATTAACCTACTAGGAAAAAAACGGATTAGAATAAGTGTGATATGAATTGTATTATCAAGAACTGAGCAGTATGTGTATGTGTTTTCATGTGTCTGTAGGTCAGTAAACCTGTCATAGACAATGTGCTCCACACGCTCAGGATAGAAGTCAGTGATGTTACAATCACTCTTTCAGCGAGGTAATGAGCATTTCCATAATGGTTTGCATGTGTCTGTACTGACATCTACCGCATGCAGTCACTTCAAGCATGGCTTCTTTCTGTCTCTGATAGTTCTTTAGGTGAGAGAGAGGACTGGTTCCACATGCTGAGCCGGGCTATAGCAGATCACGCCGCAGGCCTCAATACCTTCAGCTGCTCTAGTGAGGTGTGAGGAAATATTTTACACAGCTTCTGTACAAAAATATCTATGGCTAGTTATCAAACAAGCAACAGAAAAAAATTATTGTTAAGTTTTTGTTTAATGCATTAGTATTCAGTATTAAGGAAACTAAATGATGAAATCACTGTCCATGTTTCCAGGCGAGAGAGAAATTATGGATGTCTCTGGGAGAGGCTGCTCCTGTTCTAGTTCCTGTTTCACATGTGATGATGTGCATGAACTGCACATCAGACTTCAGGCTAACACTGCGACGGCATCACTGCAATGCATGTGGAAAGGTAAAACATCTGTACCTCATGTAGGGAAATGTCTGATAGTCTTATAGGGATAGTTCACCCAAAAATGATTCAAGCATGGCTTCTTTCTGTCTCTGATAGTTCTTTAGGTGAGAGAGAGGACTGGTTCCACATGCTGAGCCGGGCTATAGCAGATCACGCCGCAGGCCTCAATACCTTCAGCTGCTCTAGTGAGGTGTGAGGAAATATTTTACACAGCTTCTGTACAAAAATATCTATGGCTAGTTATCAAACAAGCAACAGAAAAAAATTATTGTTAAGTTTTTGTTTAATGCATTAGTATTCAGTATTAAGGAAACTAAATGATGAAATCACTGTCCATGTTTCCAGGCGAGAGAGAAATTATGGATGTCTCTGGGAGAGGCTGCTCCTGTTCTAGTTCCTGTTTCACATGTGATGATGTGCATGAACTGCACATCAGACTTCAGGCTAACACTGCGACGGCATCACTGCAATGCATGTGGAAAGGTAAAACATCTGTACCTCATGTAGGGAAATGTCTGATAGTCTTATAGGGATAGTTCACCCAAAAATGAAAATTCTGTCATTAATTACTCACCCTCAGGTCGTTCCAAACCCGTGAGACCTTCGTCCTTCTTCGGAACACAAATTAAGATTTTTTTTTATGAAATTCGAGAGCTTTCTGACTATCCATAGACAGTAATGCAACTGAAATATTTTATGGCCCAGAAAAGTAGTAAGGACATCGTTAAAGGCAGTGGTTTATAAAGTACCTGAAAGCCATACTCAAGTAAAAGTACAGATATCTTACCAGAAAATGACTTTGGTAGAAGTTGAAGTCACCGTTTAGAATATTACTTGAGTCTTAAAGTATGTGATATTTATTGTACTTAAGTACGAAAAGTATTTTTAAAATCTTAAACGTACTTAAGTATTGAAAGTAAAAGTACAAGTAAATGCAAAATGGAAAAGAAGCAAATAAATATATATAAAAAAAATTCATACACGGCTTGAGTAGCAAGATTGTGTTCAGTTTTAACTCTTTCTTCCATTTTGTATTTTTGGATAAGAATAAGAAGCACTTCATCCGGTACTTAGCGTCTTTCATTCCATCATAAGAAATAATTTCTTGAATCTGGAACTGAAATAGCATTTAGATGTATTTACACAGTTTATGTAGAAATTAAAACCGCCAGTAGGTAACAGCAAGTGACTGTTAATGAGTCATTGAGATTCAACCGATTTATTCAAACGACTAATTCATTCAGAAACAAAGCATTTGACTGTGTTAATGAGTGAATTACTGAATCATTTATTCAACCAATTCGTTCAAAAAGCTGATTCATTCAATAAGTAAACACCGTCCATTGCTCAGAGACGCAAAACAGTGCTGTGATCTTTGTTTGGAACTATTTTCGTTAGCAAAATTGAGCAAAAACAAGCACTATTATGTCCAAAACGTAAGTCACTTATTGCTTTACTGAACTTGTATAAAATGATTATTAAATGTGTTCATGCTGATATCTGCAGAAAAACGGTACTCTTTGTGTGATATAGATTAAGTTAACTATATTAAATTATAAAAATATAAAAAGCATACGAAGCATTTTTGCCGTCTACAATTTAGAATGCCTGGAATTTTGAGTTTTAATAGACTAATAAATCAATGTGCGTGATTTGGTGATATAGCCTACTTGATAATGTCAGATTGCACATAATTTCAACAACACTTACCATATTATCGCAGAAGATATACTGTATATCGCACACCCCAGACTCGACTTGAGTGGAAAATGAATCAACCGCGGTTGTGCGTGCACTTGTTTGCACGCAGGGTTGCCAGGTTTTCACAAGAAAACCCGCCCAATCACTACTCAAAACTAGCCCAGTAGCGTTTCGAGGGGGTCCCCAGTTAAAAAATCGCATTCTTGGGGGTAAAATACACGTTTTTTGTGGCGGGGTTCCCCTACTAAAATGAACATTCCAGGAGATAAATATCATGTTATTGGAGTCGCTTCAACCTGCGGACATGAAAAACAACCCGCGGCAACAGTGTTAGTAGCCCAATTCCGTGGGAAAACCCGCTATTTGAGGAAATAATGTGCAAAGTAGATTACAGGGATTTAGTGTTCATTCCATTTGTTTTCTGCTTTAATATATTTTAAAATATAATTTATTCCTGTGATGCAAAGCTAAATTGTCAGCAGCTATTACTCCAGTTTTCAGCATCACATGATCTTTCAAATCATTCTAATGCTGATTTGGTGCTCAAGAAACCTTTCTTATTATTATTAATGTTGAAAACAGTTGTGCTGAATAAAAGTATTAATTTCTTTAAATACATAGTTAAATAATAAATCTTACTGACCCAAAACGTGTTAAACGGTAGTAGTATATACTGAATAGCAGCATTAAATTGTGACCCTGCTTTCTTTTATTTTTATTATTGTCTCTCATTGCATCTCATTTTTTCTATTCATCTGAAATGTCTCGCCCTGTTTTTAGGTTGTGTGTCGCTCCTGCTCGAGAAACAGGTATCCTCTAAAATACCTGAAGGACAGGCTGGCTAAAGTCTGTGACCACTGCTACGCTGAGCTCAGAAAGAGAGGTAAGAGCCTCCAAAATGAATCAGACTTTAAAGTGTTATGCAATTTAGAGTTAGAAATAGTACGGAAATCGTTAATGTAAACTGTTCACTTTGATTGAACCATTTCATACTCACCATCACAGTTTTACAATATTATCAAGAATGTAATATACTTTTGTTATTTTTCATTATTCATCTGCAATTGATTGTTTAAACAAAATAGGCTGTTTCCATTCTGAACATTTAAATTATCCCAATAGCTGTATAGTTAATGTCAGTGTATGATGTGTATGTAGGTGGTAATATTCCAGGGTCATGTGGGAGCGCCAGTCCCTGCACAAACAGGGCCAGCAGGCCTCTCTCTGCTGTGTTCCAGAGCCTACAGCCACCCAGCCTGTGGAGGAACAGAAAGAGCACCTCACCTCTCACACAGGTACACACACAAACACTCACATTCACATCTGAATTAATGAGGAATTTTTATACTCCGAGTTCAAAAAGTCTTGGTGTGTGCAGGTATCTGTGGGTGCAGAGGGGTCCACTATGAGTGGCAGTCTGCAAAGATGCAAAAAGAGCAAAAGGAAGTGGAAGAGGCTGTGGTTTCTGCTCAAAGACAAGGTGCTCTACACCTTTAAAGCACGAGAGGTGAGGGGACCCAGAGTCTCCCACACCAACACAGACACCACAAACAAACACTCATGCATACATACGCACATTATAACCTGCACAAACTACATTTAATGTGCTGGATCAATACCAAAATTTAGATTTTGATACAATATCAGCCTCTGGTTCCTCACATCATTACTAAATCAATGGCTTAGGCAACAAATAAACCACTTTGTGTGATTGATGAAATACAACTAGGAATGTCAATGTTAATAATTTGTAAACTTGGCAATAAATTATTTTTTTTACGCTACTACTTAAATGTTTGGGGTCTGTAAGGGTTTAAAAGGTTTTGAAGGAAGTCTCACCAAGGCTGCATTTGTTTGTTCAAACATACAGTAAAAACAGTAATATTATTACAGTTTAAAATGTTCTGAATTTTCAGCATAATTTCTTCAGTCTTCAGTGTCACATGATCTTTCAGAACTCATTGCAGTATGCTGATTTGTGGTCTGATTATTGGTAATGTTGGAAACTGTGCTGCTTAATATTAAATATTAATAAAATAATTATAAACATAATAAATAATTAGATCCCCCAAACTACTGAATTACGGATCAATTACATAATGAAACAATTATAATGTCACATTTAATTAATCTCATTAAAGGCCTTTTACATCACATTGTCTGAACTGCTAAACTGTGCTGTCTTTTTTGGTCAGGTGCTGAAATATGCAAAATGATAATACTTGAAATAATGAAAATACCACACAAACCCTGCACACATTTAACCTCTCTCTCTCGGTTTCCTGTGTCTGCAGGATAAAGTGGCATCTGAAAGTCTTCCTCTGCAGGGCTTTACTGTGAAGCTGTCGGATCGATCAGAAGGGGAAGACAAAGACAACGTTTTCCAGCTGTACCATAAAAAAACACTGTATTACACCTTCAGAGCAGACGACCAGCATACTGCACGCAGGTATGACACACAAGAGTCGTCCTGCACACCTCTGCATTGTTCATTCCCATTTGAAATCCTCAGAATTATGATAAAGAAATGAACTGTTATTTTGCAGGTGGGTAAATGCATTGGAAGAGGCCACAGTGTTATAGTATCCAGCTATCTGCCCAGACGACAACAGGACTCTGGGCAGGATTCCCCAGACAGCTGAACCCATCATGGGCTTAAACCTATGACATCAGAGTCACCTGTGCCTGAGAAACCAGCGGAATCACACCATTAATACCTTCATTTTTATCTCCATCTTCTTTTTGGCTGCTGAATTTATGGACAGATTCACACAAGGCATGTCACGCTCTGTGTTTGTGCTGTCCCAGGACGAGTCCCATGCCTCACCTACTTCACAGACTCATTAAAAAAGTGCCATATGTAAACAGTGCAGTTCAGTGAAGCTCAGGCGTTGTGCATGATTGCTCTGAAACTACTCGTCTGTGTCGAATAAAGAAGAATGTTCTTTTTTTTTTTTTTAAATTGTAACTGCCTTTTTATATGCAGTGCTGTCATTTTATACAGTAATGTAAAATAAAAAATAAATTAAGGCATTTGTTATAGCTTGGAAGAATATGATAAGCCAAAACAGGCTTGTTATAGACAATATATTGTTCATTTAATTTAACAGCTAAATGTTTAGCATGGCATATCCTACCACCTCGGATATAAAAAGTCCATGTTTTATATACAAATGACATCATGTGATATATATATATATATATATATATATATATACATTTGGATTTGATACAGAATTGTATAGCCTAAATGAAGAAATCTGTACATTTTACAATTCAGTGTAATATATTTAATTTGCAGCTGTATTAAGATATTGCTATCATCTGCTGTGATTCATTTTTCTCTGCACATTTGGTAGTTATTTTATCGTGGTCCCCAAGCTGACTTTGTTCCCGTATAAACATCACCATGTCAACCATTGTTTTCGCTAGAATACCACCACAGTTATTGTTACTAATTTGATATTAGTCACCACCACTGACATCAAAAACATAAAAAAAACATATCAGGAGAAAAATTCTATTTTGAATATAATCCTATATGCATTTGGTATAATTACATCAATATTAATAACTATGGTATATGGTCAGAAACAATGGTTATTATGGTAAAAAGGATGGTTGTATGCACCATGTCACATACCTTTGAAGGCCACATTTGGTAAAACCTCAATGTAAATCAGTATGCAAATGTTGTGAACATCTGTGTCGGTTGAACCTTTCATTAAAAATTGTGACGTGTCATAAGCTTTATGTACAGTATCAGCCTTAAGCAGTTTTTTATTTAGGCCATCATCTAAAGCCATGTTATTCCCCAAAAATATGTTTAAAAATGTTTTCAATTTTTTTAAGATAAATGCCATAAAGAATCAAACTGCATTTTCAAATGAGTTTAGGTGAATTTTGTTGTATATATTCATCTAGAAAGAACAGTTTGTCTGAACTGGGCCTTTTTCTGTTCAGTATTTTCAAAATGCCTAGTAGGACTCATTTTTCTTTTTATATCATGTTTGTTTTTTATTTGTCTTTTAATGTTACATTTTAAAAATGCGTTCTGTAAAACTAAAAAAAGTGCCAGTATACATCCTCAGTTATTTGTATCTGATATTTCCCAGCACAGACCCTATTCCCACAGAGATCATCCCTCTTCCTTGATGCTTTATTAAATTTAAATAAAGCCCCTGCATAATGAAGAATAAAAAGTCATGTAAACCTGCATTTTAAAGGTAAGAAAAATGCATTTTGGTTTCTTTTCACAGTTAAAGTTAGTCCCATTAAAGCAGTAGTTCCATTAGAAATGACTGATTATACAATTGTTTGGCTTCACATGTTTAGATTATTAGAAAGAGATAAATAGGCCTATATTAATTATACAATTTCCACGACATTCTAATTTATTGAGATGCACCTGTACATACAGTATATTAAAGTATAAAAAATACTTTCCAATGGTTAACATACAGTCTCTAGGGGGCGACACATACTTAAGCAGGAGCAGCAAGTCACGCTTCTTGTCAGTGATTATTATGCGGTAGTTAAATATTTGCTAGTAATAGAAATAATTGATCAGATTTCGATGCTGTTTTTCTTTTCCCCCATTAGCCTACTGCATTTAGCATATTTGTTTAATAATTAAGCGTATTTCATTACAATAGTTTATTTTCTTTACTGTAAACGGGCCTTCAAACCTAGCAACAAACGGCTAACTGTGATGACACATGGTGATTATTCGAGTCAAATGTGTCACCATTATCTCAATAATCTGCCCGAGTGCGATCTCAATTATCAAACTGCAGCCTAGTAATGCGATATAACTAGGTTAAGATAATTAGCTTTATCAAAGTGGTCTGTGGCACTTCGGCCAACAGCCAAAGAGAGGTTGATTAAGCAGCAGAATGCCTAAATAATTGATATGATAGAAAAAAAGAGGCAGCACAAAACATTTCGCCCTATTTCTTTTCATCCTTTGAAATATTAATGATGCTGAGGTCCACTGTGCTATTGTAGGTCCCCTGAAAACTGTTATTTTGACACTGATCTGGGATCAGTTTTCCAAACTTAAATACAAAACCTATTCACTGCAGGGGAAAAAAAGCACAATGCTGATGTCAGATCAGCATACATTTCACTAATAGCTTCTAGTCTGCTGTCGAGACTAAAGTAGACTTCATTAGACTGAGATTTACTAGGTCATCGAGGACAGGATAATAAAGGATATAAAAGAAAGTAGAAAGCAAAGGACAGGAACGAAGACTGAAAAAGAGGTTCCAGGGAATATAATAATAGTGTGGCAATGAAAAGGTGGCAATATGGCAAGAAAGAGAAAAGGGATGTTAAAGAAGGAAAGTGAGATAGAAATGGGACTGTTCTAGTTGCCACACTCCCTTGAGTTCCCCTGACCCACTAATGAAAGAGTAATTGATAAATTCGAAGCATTTAATTGCTTAAAATGTCATTTCATTAGATTGGGGACTGTATTTTTGTTAGCGTGTCAGTTTTGGTGAAGTAGGTGTACAGGTGGATGAAGAATGAGCTCATAACCAAGTTCAGATATACAGACATTCAACATGGAGAACAAGGTGCCTTTATGACTCCACTTCCTCTCTTCAAGTGTCTGTACTATGACCATTAAACTAGAACATTCAATGACTGCCTATGCCTCATTTAAAGGAACAGTTCAATGAAAATTTGCTGACAATTTACTCACCCTCAGGCCATCCAAAATGTAGATGAGTTTGTTTCTTCATTGGAACAGATTTGGAGAAATTTAGATCACTTGCTCACCAATGGATCCTCTGCAGTGAATGGGTGCCGTCAGATTCAGAGTTCAAACAGCTGAGAAAAACTGAAGCTAAAAATATCAGTAATGCCGTTTGACTTCACCAGCAAAAAATATACAAATAACTGAAAATATTGTGTCTAAAATGTAAGTTTCACAATATTATTGTCTTGTTGATTTAATCTTTGTTTAAAAGCAGTTAGAGTAAGCAATCATGGTCATGTTGATATGTGAACAAACAGCACGATTACGAGTGATTTTTATATATGTATATTTTGATATTTTTAAAGAGAATACTATATATTTGATATATCAGTTTGCGGACCACATAGCTATAAATTTCATTGAGCCGTGATATAAAGTGGTCATATTTTAGTTCTACAGTCATTCTGAGAGGCTCTTATAATGATTAGAGAAAGGTGAACCTCAAACTGAAACAAAGGTTGACCACACACAGGTGTTCCTCTGTTCCTCAGGACCTAAAGCACAATGGGCATAAAAAATAACACAAGATCCATTAGGGCTTGGGAAACATGAGCAGTACCCGGCTTTTGTGGTTTCATGAATGAGCTTCACTTCCATTACTGGCAAAAACTTACAGAACTTCAGAGTTTGGAGTCCTTTTTCCATTTGCCTGTTTGAAATGCATGCATTTGAATGGTAAATGAGCATCTTTTCTTTACAAACAAACAGAGGTATAGTTCTTCTGTTAGCGCTGCTCTCCTCAACCATGTTAATGTATTCCAGGATATTAGCACCTTTGCTCTTTATTTCCTGATTTTCCATCACCCTCACCCATGATTAATATGAGCTATTTATCTCCAGTGAGATAAACTCCAGAGTTCCAGAGCGCTATCGCTGTATTCATGAGGTCACCACCATTATCAAGCTTTCTTTTGGAGAACACAGTCTAGACATTAAGAAGAGGCGGAGTCAAAAGTAACACTTTTTTTATATTGTATTATATTATATTATTTTATTTTTATATTAATTTAAACAATTATTATCAAACAATTATATTCATTTAGTAACATAGATATATCTTAGTGTAAGCTATATCTTTAGAGTTTTATAATTCATTATCTTCTTGTCGGTCCACCAGTTCACATTTACAACTGCGTGTTTTCTGCGTAAAAAATAAGGGTCGTTTTTGGCTTTGGTCTAAAGTTTAGACTAAACAAAGAGCAGAAGGGCTTATTGAAAAATGCAAATTAATTCTCTGCCAGCAGGTGGCGCTTTTCGAAGATGTTCTCTCTATCAGGAGAGAAATATGCACAGATCAAGCACCATTTACAAGCAAAAACAGTCTAAACAAATATGCTGGTGTGGGTTTCGATGTGAGATGACAACAGAGGATCCATGGGTGAGCAATTTCTCCAAATCTGTTCCAATGAAGAAACAAACACATCAACATCTTGGAATTAAAATTTTTGGGTGAATTATTCCTTTTAAGGGCATTTTTGTTTACTTTTGTGCAATAAGCAATTTTGGTATTTTGTTGGGTTGCTACTTTATAATCAAATCCAATCCTTCTGAGAGTAAAATAAGATGTTAGATTGGGTTAAAATGTCATCAAATGAATATGAAGATTTCAGAACAGTGAGGAAGAAACACCACTTTGCTAATCAGAATCAGAATCAGAATGAGCTTTATTGCCAGGTATGTTGTGGGGTGTTTTTTCAAACCTGCAGTAGAACTCGTTTAGATCGTCTGCCAGTTGTTGATTCTCCGCAGTGCTGGGGGATGGTGTCTTGTAGTTGGTGATTTCTTTTAGACTTTTCCACACTGATGCCGAGTCGCTGGAAGTGAACTGAGTCCTTATTTTTTCCGAATAATTCCTCTTTGCCACTCTGATCTCCTTTTCCAGTGTGTATTTAGCCTGTTTATACAAGACATTATTCCCCTTCCTGTGAGCATCTTCTTTGGCCTGACGGAGCTGACTGAGTTTTGCAGTGAACCATGGTTTGTCATTGTTGTAAGTTAAATGAGTCCTGGTAGGAATGCACATGTCTTCACAGAAACTGATATAAGATGTTACAGTCTCTGTGAGCTCGTCCAGATCGGTGGCAGCAGCTTCAAAGACGCTCCAATCAGTGAGGTCAAAACAAGCTTGTTAAACCTACAATGGATTGCTAGAAAAATGAAGTTGTTCTCAAACATATTTAAAACTCATTACAGACTTTAAAGATAGAGGGAAAGAAGAGGGAAGTAATAGTAAAAGAGAAGTGAGGCAAGACTGATAAATTGTATTAAAAGGGGTGAGATAAGACAGAAAGGAAGAGGAGAGAAAAATAAGGAGGAAAGAGAAACAGTAAAGGAGAAGAAAGGAAAAACTGGTAAGAAGCAGTTCTATAAAACAGAAGAGAAGTGAAACCACACATCATAAACCAACGCAATGAGTCCTCACCATTCCTCAGAACTTTCTATAATAATGGTATCCGTTGGATCGCAGTTTACACACCTTAATGTGTTACGCATAAAATATTAGATTGGGTTAAACAGACTAAATATAGAAACACTGAAACTCACAGCTTTATACACCACTGACAGACCTAGATTGAAGGGGTGGGGCAGTCTGTGAGTCAGCATCATGTGACAGCTGCTTCTTTGTGTATGCGTGTGTGTAATGTGTGTGAATGCGATAAATGTTTTGTCCGTGCCCATTCCTTGTGTTGGTGCGGGGCGGGACTAAATGGAGTTCCCAAAGCTAAGGTTTCCTTCAGGAATCTCCCGCCTTCAGGTAAGGAAAGCACCAGGTCAACTAAACCAGTCCAGGGGCAGTTAAATGAGAAACTTGCATGTTTATGTGTTTTCCAATAGAAAATTATGACCTCGATTGTGCACACCTGATAAATCTTTGACCATATGACATCACAGAGTTTCTATATCTCTCAAAGACATTATGAACTCAAAGCCTGAGTAGGATAGATAGATAGATAGATAGATAGATAGATAGATAGATTGATTGATTGATTGATTGATTAAAGGGATAGTTCACCCAAAAATGAAAATTCTGTCATCATTTACTCACCAAGTTGCTGTCTGTCTGTCTGTCTGTCTCTCCCTCTCTCTCTCTCTCTCTCTACCTACCTACCTACCTGCCCGACGTCACTCCTC